TTCTCAATATATGAGTTTTTCTTGTTTAAAACGACGATTTTCTAACAGAGAAAAAAAATCTAGTAATGCCTTAGAACCATAAGGAACACCATCTTTTTCAATCCTTTCTAAATCTTATTTGCACCGATTTCGCCCCTCTCTTGCTCATATCAATCAGCTGTTCTTTCAGGTCAAAGTCTCTCGCGCAATGTATCGATTCTTCTTACAGGCGGCCATTTAACAGTGCGTTGCTCATATTGCTGATGCAAACGGCAAGGACTGGCCGAATGGTCGAGTGGGTAACGTGGCAGCACTTGCAGTTAGCACACTTAGGTTCGACCGCCCGCGAGGCAGCAGTTTTGCGGCTGTCTACGTTATCAAAATTTGATGAGCGAAATAACCGCGTACTGAGATTATACAAGATTATTAGAACCTACAATCACTCCGCGAGCTGCCGGCGGAGTTGGCATCTTTCCGGGATGTGTGCCAACTTGCCGGCATCTATGATGCTACCAGGTAGGGTAGATTACTACCGGCCCTGCTGTCCAGAGAGTTTTGTCACAAAACTTTGTATACTTAGAGAAGAAAACAGTTGAAGTTATATCAGAAACAAAAATCTGAACTGAAGCCGCCCGGTAGCTGGTAAGCGCTTTTGTAAAGAAGAATAACGTTGCCTCTTAAAAAACATCTCAAATGGTGCTGAAGGCTTTTCAAAAACTAAGTTTCGGATATTAATATCATTTGATATAGCTCCAGTCGACTACCCCCTGCTTGCAAGCTGTGATAATCCGAAGTTGGGGTCTTGTAATCGATATATCGATTTTTGGGTGCATTGTAACGCACGCACGTTTTGCATCTTGTTTTATTCTAAAAAAGGCCTAGTAAGTCTTATAATCAAACAACCCTCGTCTAAGAACCCGGAGCCGTAAGAGTGCTATATCGAGAAGCACACTCAAACATTTTTTTGAAAGCCAGCCACTTTGTTAGTGTTTTGTCGCTCCTTCTTCCCTCAATATGAAGCTACTCTAAATGAATATTGATGCTCTCCGTTTTCTTCTTAGAGGAAAATTCTGCCTTATTCATGTATGAAAGTAAAGATCATGAGTCAATTCAACAAAAACGAGATACTTTTATTTGTGGTTAACTTTTATTTGTGATTGATGACCTTGAGTCAGTTGATAGGCCAAATTGTGTCTTGCGAAAAGTACCTATCATAATTCATGCACTATACGAATATTTTTTTTCACCAGTGCGTCACTTCTGCTTCGCAAAGGCTCATACTGGTCCTACTACCCACATGCCTTCCTCGAACTCGTAAAATGATGTCTTTGAAACATACCGCGCGATGCTGCATCAGAATGACTTGTAAACAACTATCATTTCAGAAGCTTTTTTAATGTAAGATCGGTGATTTGAGAGGACGAAAGTACTCTCCAAAAGATTAATCGTAGGTTCGAATCGCTTTGGAGTTATAATGGCTTGATAGTGAGTTACATCTCTAAGCAAAAATCTTCTTGAATTCTTAGGTAAAGCCTTGACAAATCGACTGTTTATGCAATTATTCCTTTTAGCACCGATCTTGCGTGAAAGTAGATTTTTTGCTCACTTGTCGGGCTAGGCTCCATGGTTTGCGGAGGTTACTTGTTAGATAAATTCATGATTTTGGAAAAAGTCATCACAGGCCCACTTTGGCGCGCGAGAAGTCGCATGGATTCGTTTGGCGCACAATTTTCAATGTTTAACTCATCAGATCGGCTTTTGCTTTTGCGTACTTTACCTACATACTGATAGGGTGCTACGACCAAAATTCTAAATCAAGACCATTGCTGGAACTCGCTCTACGAATTTCGTGACAGACAGAGATTCACACACAAAGACAGACAAACGTAAACAACCCCTAGCCCGTTATTATAAGTTACCAGTGCGTCACCTCTGCTTCGCAGAGGCTCGCACTGGTCTTATTTCATATGCCTTGCTCATTCATGACTAATGGTGGCAATGAAACTCACCGCGCAGTGCCAATTATCGCGAGTAAAATGTAAACAAAGACCCATTCCAAATGCTTTTTCATGTGAGATCGGTGATTTCGCGTGAATGAAACTTTTCGCAGAAGAACAAATACAATTTTGAATAGGTTTTTAGACTCTTTCTGGCTTGGTAGCTGCCATAAGGACTGTAGGCAACGTGAGCTACTTCTCTATGCAAAATTTACTCGAATACTCAGATAAAACCATAGTAAATCAACCATTTACGTAACCATTCCTTTTTGGCGTCGTTCTCGTAAAGTAGTAAACTTTTGTCCACTTTTTTGGACTAAAGTCCATGGCTTGCACATCAGCATGCCAAACACATCCCTGACTTTGCAAAAAGTGGTGATACGGAACCAATTTTGCTGGCCAGAACCCAAGTGGTTCCGTTTGACGCACAGTTTCTGAGGGATCCACTCAACAAAACCACTCCTGCTTTTGTACTGTAGGCTCTTATGTTGGTCGCATTTGATGTGCAAAATTTGGGCTCAGGACATTGGCTGGAACTCGCTCTACAAATTTCGTTACAGACAGACACACAGGCATACATACGCACACACAAAAACACGTAAACAACCTTAGCCCGTTATTATAAGTTATGATGATTTCAAATTACACAGACTGATAAATTTGTCCGACTTTCGCAACATTCAGAATTCACGCCACATTTATTCAAAAAATAACTCCGCCCCTTAGCAAAGAGAATATTTGCTTCCTCCAGTGGTCAAAAGATATTTTAAATTTCAAATGTATGAAAGTGAGGGAAGAAGATCACACTAGGAATTGACAGCAGTTGAAGAATGAACGATACAAAGCGTTTCAACATGTTTGCTGTGGGTGAGTAGTGCTCAGCTAAGTCGTATCATGGTTGATTCTTGGCCATGATTTGAAACTGTTATTGAATTATGCAGATCTAAAGACCTCTATCGAAACAAAAACGAAGTTAAAGGCTGCGTCCACAGTTGCCCGTGTCAGCGCCGTGCTAGCGCCACGTCGGCGAGGCCGATGGATTGATACCAGAGCGTCCACATGGATTTTGGCACGGCGCTGGCACGTGGATAACTCTGAACGCAGCTTGGAGCAAGTGAGAAGCGATTCCCAGAGAGAATAATGCACTTCTCTTATCACTGAGAAATTGCACTTCACCTGTTTGTCAACTGGCTTGGGACCTGTATTGCCATAATTTCAATCACTCTTTTTCGTCGAAGGATTTGAAACAACACTTGCAAGCAACCAGCCTGTTGGTTGACTCTCGCGATAGTGTATTATAAAAGTTCCCTAGAAGCAGACGATCTATGAATTCTCGCATGAGGCTGGTGGACAGTCTGTGAATCTTTCTAGGTCATAAACATACTACTTCAAGAAAAAAGTGGCTATAAATCATTAAGTGCACAGCTTTTGATCAATGATAGGTTGAGCTCGGTGCAATTGAGAGCTCTATTCATTTCAATTCACTAAATTTATTCGTTTTGCCGTTTGACTGATACGTTTAGATAGCAAACTTTTTTTGGAAGAAAGGGGAGGGGACAACAGGCATCCAAAAATACTTTTACAAAAAGTCTAGTTATGTTCAATATAAAAATAGGTCACTAACCTGTTCCAAACAGAACACTTTCAAAAAAGAGACCCATTCAGGGCGGAAGAGAAATTGATATTTTATGTCGTTGAGACAACATTCAGAGTTGTTCGTGAGCCGGCGCTGTGCCAGCGAAGTTCCAGCGCTGTGCTGGAACCAACTGGACGCGCAATTGTTCGAGTGATGTGACTGCACGGCTCCGGCACGTAACGCTAGACGCAGCATAATACCCGAAATTGCTAAAAATGACATTAGTAAAAGCGAAGATTATTGATTATAACAAGAATTTTCTTTCTATAACCTCAATGCATACAGACAAAATGGAATTCGAGATAAGTATTAGGTTGTCCGGAAATTAATGTCCGTTTTGAATTTCAACCGCAATAAGTCATACACTTCTCATTTCTAGATAGCATGCAAAATACCCGAAAAAAAGCAAAGCATGCTCTACAAGAAGGCAAATCTTGATTTAGCGACAGCTCTGATCCATCTCGAGTTTCAAGCCAAAAACTTAAAAAATTCAACTGCCCGAAAAATCGAGAAAAGTCGTAACTCTGTTCATAAAAATCCTACAAAAATTCTAACTTGCCCACGTAAACACTGTCTACATAAGACATCTATACACGCCGTTGCCGTATTTTTTCCTCTGTTAGAAATCAAGAAAACGGAATCGAATCTCGTGCATTTACCAAAGTGATGCTGTGCTGTCCCCACATAGGTAGTTGTATACTACAAACCTGTAGGAGTACAAACGTAAATTTTCAGCTCTGTGCAAGCTTTAGTTCTCGAGAAATATCGAGTACAGCTTTCCCATCTCAGGGGGTCCAAACTGAAATTCAGATTTTTCGAGAACTATAGCTTATAGAGAGCTGAAAATTTACATTTGTACTTCTACAGGTTTGTAGTATACAACTAGCTATGTGGGGACAGCACAGCATCACTTTGGCGAATGCAAGAGAATTTCTGTTATCTTGATCTCTAACAGAGGGAAAAATACGGCAACGGCGAGTATAGATGTCTTGTGTAGACAAGTTTTACGTGAGCAAGTTAGAATTTTTGTAGAATTTTTATGAACATTTCGACTTTTCGGGCAGTTGAAACTTTTTAGTTTTTGGCTTGAAACTCGAGATGGATCAGAGCTGTCGCTAAATCAAGATTCTTCTTGTAGAGCATGCTTTGCTCTATCGAGCGGTGTCTTGCAACCTACTTAGAAATGAGAAGTGTATGACTTATAGCGGTTGAAATTCATAACGAACATTAATTTCCGGACAACCTAATACTTTGTCAGCTGAATTTGTTTTTTAAAGAGCGCATTGCCGATGTTGAAATACAGTTCACTTAAGTCAGTAGTCTTTGTTAAATGAGTGTCACTTTAAATTTTGGAGTGCACTTTCACCACTACTTTTTTAAATTACACCATGGATTTACCTTCCTTACTGAAAACAGCACCTTGCATCAAGGTCAAGATGTTCGCTGATGATATCAAAACCTATGGAATCTACGACCTTTCCAACTATGATGAAGTTCGCCAAGCGCTTGAATTGTCCATCAAGCGAATGCTGGACTGGTCAAAAATGTGGGATCTTCCCATTAACCTTGACAAATGCTCTGTTATGCGAACGGAAGGGAGGAAGGAGCTAAGTATGAGATAGATGGTTTACCCTGACTGAGTGCACGTCATCTAAGGACTTGGGAGTATTAATTGAACCCTCTCTCAGATTTTCACAGCATATAAGCACATAGTCATGAAGGCATACCGTGTTTTATATGCTATCTTTACATCAATACACTCACAAAATCCTGAGATTTATAAACGATTACACAATGCTTATGTTTTGCCACATCTTGAATACTGTTCGCAGATATGGAGTCCATATCTCAAGAAGGACATCAGGCGTATAGAAAAGGTCCAGCAAACTTCCACGCGCTTGCTGTACCTTAGATGTTGGCTTCTTATAACTTAAATATGCCTTGCTACAGTGCACGACTCAATACCCTCAAAATGAGGAGCCTAGAATATCGTAGAAAGCTATCAGATATGGTTTTTTGCTTCCGGGTACTTCGGAAAGAAATCAGATTACGAGCAAGCTAGTATTGGGTATTCATGCCTAGCAGTCAACGTTCTCAGTCATTCAATATTCATTACGCCCGAATTTGACCGAAGAAGTTCCTGTTGGTCTTCAATACCTTATTCTACCGTGGCGCGACGTTCCTACAGCGTCTCCCCCTCAAATGTGCTCAGCTCAGCAGATAGTTGCGGCTTCAAGAGAAAGCTAAGGAAAGTTGATTTGCATGAAATTTTGAATCTCTCTTGATAGTATCTGTTTATCTTTTTTTTTCAGCTGGACTGCGCGGCTCGTTGGCTTACCCTTGTCTTTCGGCAGCAGAATTATAGTCCATAGACGAACAAGTCTATTATGATTTTTTCTGAGTTCTGATTTTATTAGGTAGTACTGAAAGTATATGATAGTCTTTCTGGTTCAATAAGCCTTCAAGTCCAGATGGATTCTACCTAACTTCATTTGATTATCACAGTTATAGCAGAAAGTTGACTACTGCTGATTCTCACACCAATTTACTTGATCCTCCTACCTCGTAACCAACTTTGTGGATAAGGGTGATTTGATGAGTAACCGAGGCACGCATGGTTGGCCCATTCGCCTAGGCCTCACCCTTTATGTCAGGGTATGGCAGTTAAGGAAAGATACGTTAGGAACACAGAGATGGATGTGAAGTTGCCTCTGAGGTGGATATTATGGTCTTGTTCCCACCTCCTGTTGCTAATTATATCTTACGTCGTTGGTCTAAACTTCAATCACAGTGGATGACGCAGAATGGCTGACTCGCAAACAAAGTAAGCCATTGTGCAGTGTTTAATTTTTTGCTAGAATCTCATTGTTTATGGAAGAATGTAGTGCCCAGCTGACTTAGACTGGTTGACTGTTGTATCGGATCTTTCACCATTTAGTAATGCTATCATTTTTAGCGTTTGTGCTTACTCATTGATCTACCTGCACTTTGAATTGTTGGCGCACTAGGTGCAATAATAAATAAATAAAAAAAATAAACTGGTTACGAACGATGCTCATAAAAGGGCCTTAATCGTCGATAAGATCCGTCTTGTATGGTAAGAACTTGTCACTCTTTTGATGAACTTCCCACCAATTTTTTGACTTCTTTCCTTTTCTTTCTTTTCTTTTCTTTTCCTCTTTTCTTCTTCCTATTTCGACTTCTTTCCCACCAACTTTTTGAAATCTACTAAATAAGCATGAATTTGCGATTTCAAGTCATATCAATTACAACCGCAAAATTATCTCATTAGATGTTTTCTGGTTTTATTTTGAAGCTACTAAAGGCTATGGGTAAAATAACGTCACATATGTTTTGTATGGCGTAAGACATTTCTCCTATCGACGACGAATTACTCGAACTAAGGCATAATTTATGCCAGGATTGGCGTGCAAGTATCAAAAATCTATTCTGTTCTCTTTGATACCTCTTGTAAAAGCCATGCTGTTGTTTTTATGAATTTTACTAGATTTCTGGTTGTGACCACTATCTGAATAGTTTTTCCTACAGAGATGAGTATTTGAAATATGGAAGTGTTGATCGTCTCAATATATCAAAGAATTACGCCAATTCTGAGAAATCAGTTTCTTGACTGTTGATTTCATTTGGAAAACCTAAAACAAGAAGTTCGGACAAAACAAATTAGTAGGCAATAAGACTAAATGCTGTCTATATTATGCCATTGTGACTTATCTAAAGCCGTTTGAAGTGCTGAGTAATTTCAATTACTTTTGTTTCACAAGAATTCAGATTTGTTTGCAAGACTCATTTTTGGGAATGCGCCTACAACCATCGAAACTTATGTAGCTGAGTTGATCCCCAACGTTAAGTATTTCGGCAAATCAAATCTATTTCAATTCTCAAATTCATGAGACAACACGCTTGTCATGCATTCTCTAAACACAGACAACACTTCCTGAAACTTTTCGGGGAGAAAAGGGAGAAGAGGGTTACGAATTTTTAGATGTTTTGCGGATGAAAAGGAACTAGCCACGCAATTTGAAAATGATCCGAAATTTTGCAAAAAGGGGGTACGTACCGGTGACCATGTCTGATGAAAATTTCACGCGCTAAATCGAGTTTTGAAAAAAGTCTACATATTTCATTTATTCAACAGTATTAACGAATCACTTACACAACTTTATAGCTCATGTACATATAGGCTTATTTCCTTGTTTTTGGTTCATACCAATTTCTAAAATAATAGATTCTTTCATTCTGCCTAGTCCTCTCTCCCAAATTTCTCATCGCATTTTTCGAAATCACGTTAATTACCGTACTTGATTCGCTCGAAAATATCTTACATTTTCAGTAACGGCTACACATCATAAACTAAGGAACATACCATCAGAAAAGACGAGTAAGCCATTTTTAGATGTCAAAGTAGCCAAACTCAAACTTTCAGTCGAGAATCTCAGCGGAAATTTACTGCGACCGTCCTCAATGACTTCTTTACTCCGTACTTTATTCAATCCATATGAGAAAGAAGCCACAAAAGGGCAAGAGGATGCAATTTTTGAGTTGTTCAAGATTCCTGGCAAGAACGAAGCATCCATTGGAAGATTACTTACGGTACCGCCATTTAACCCAATTCGACGGCCAATAAAAATTATTGAAGGTCCTCAAGTCATTTGGACTGCGAGTTGACGATCCGAGGCTCAAGCCAATGATGAGAAGACTAAAACAAATCGAGAAGCAAGAAGAAGCCAAAATGAACGAAGCTGTTGAGCCAGAGCATTGGAAACTCGGCAGAGAACATTTCAAAGAGTTTGTGACTTCAGTTTACAAATCAAATTATATAAAAAAGCGCAAAAGTTTCAGGTGCGTAGCTCACAGCGTGGATCTCATCGCACAAGCACTACGTAATAACCTTGTTATTCCATCTTGGCACACATTTATTGATGAAATCCGGATTATCTATCAAGAGGTAAATTACCAAGGAAATTGCATTTTGAAATTTTATATTTAGTGCGCCGAAATTAGTGATGGTAACGTGGCATCGTATATTCCTCAACTTGCAAGACAATCACCACATTATTGGGGAGTTTCGATTTGTACCGTAGACGGACAGAGAGTAACTGTTTTTTTCTCAATCTTCAAATTCACTAGGCTGTCCCATACGTTCTGCATCAAAATACATTTAAAAAATTTCGTTGAAAATGCTTTGTAGAAAAAGCCGATTAATATTTCCACATTCTTACGTAGAACCCAAAAACATCAACGTCCAAGAGAAAAAACCCAATTTGTGTGCTTTCCTTTGACGGCTTGTATACGAGTTTTGCCAAAAAAATTTCGTCTGCTGGAAAACTAATCATTCACACTTTTTGAAAGAAAAAAATGTCGAACCAAAATATTTGATTTATTCAAAAACGATAGGATTTTCAGAAGTTTTGGTACGAGATTTGGAACAACCTAAGTCATCGCAAGTTTGCGTATGAAGATAAACAAAAAAAAATTATTTTGAAAGGTTCTTGAACATTTCTCTTAATCACTCATTTAGGCATCCTTCGGTGATGCTAAAACACCGTTCTGCGTGCAGTCCGTTTCAAAAGCATTCAATTACGCTATAGCCGCTTCGGATCTTGGTAAGACTTACAGACATTTAGTCTCTGTTGTAATGTGTGGAGCCATGTTTTAGTATTAGGTTGAACCGAAAGTTCGTTCGCACCATTTTCAAAAAATCATAACTTCTTTCCCTCACGACAGTTTTGCGCATTTTAAATTTTGTTAGAAAGCGTAAAGCATGTAGTTTCCAAAAATCTCCTGGCGACTTTCCAGCATGTTCAGATTGCAGAGATAAAAATGAAAGAACGAAAACATCCGAAATTCGGAATTTTTGAGAAACAATTCCAAAAATCTAGAAACTGCGCGATAAAATCCAGAAAAGCCATTATCCTAATTTTTCTTATATTTGATTACTAAATGAGTTAAATTTGTGCTGATCGAGCTCTTCTTTCAAAAGTTATGATTTTTTGAAAAAAATTCCGAAAAATCACTTTCCCAAGAATTCCTAAGAAATTAATTTTTCGGCATGTTTTTTCAAAAAATCATAACTTTTGAAAGAAGAGCTCGATCAGCACAAACTTAACTCATTTAGTAATCAAATATAAGAAAAATTAGGATAATGGCTTTTCTGGATTTTATCGCGCAGTTTCTAGATTTTTGGAATTGTTTCTCAAAAATTCCGAATTTCGGATGTTTTCGTTCTTTCATTTTTATCTCTGCAATCTGAACATGCTGGAAAGTCGCCAGGAGATTTTTGGAAACTACATGCTTTACGCTTTCTAACAAAATTTAAAATGCGCAAGTGCCAAAAATGCCAAAGAAGTTATGATTTTTTGAAAATGGTGCGAACGAACTTTCGGTTCAACCTAATAATTTTAGCTTTGATAGAGTTTTGGCACCATGCCCATTCCTGTAGTGTAATCATCGCACTTCCATCAGAAACGAAGATAATTTAATCTATAGGCAGCTTTCCAGTTACACCAGCATAAATAATCTCTAATATTTTATTAATTTGTTGGAAATAATTTGATAATCAATAATCTTCATCTTTCAGGAGCTGCTTATGTGCACACATACGTGGGAGAAGTAACGAGTGGGCGCCTTTTTAACGAGATTTGTTTCGATAGCAGAAGTAAGCGAAGCTAGCACTTTTATCATATAATTTTCAAATTCATTCTTGCAGACAAAAATTCTGGAGCTATCATAGTCACTTCTCTTATCAAAAATACAATAGACATGGTTGATCGATTTGACTACGTAAGTATTAAAAGATGCCAGTGAAATTTAGGACTAATTTTTAGGCTTTTTTATTGCTTCTGTAAACACTTTCCTCAATTTATCATAATTAAGGTAATTACGCAATATCGAAAGATTGCTGGAGGAGAATACATTGGGTTCAACAATGCCACGTAAGTTCCGATTTCAAATCGCTTTATCACTAGATTTAAAGTCATGAAATGGTCTTAATTTGTCTTAGAAAAAATTGTTAATTTTTTATCTTAATGTTGCAGATTTTTGTCGGAAAGAGCTACCGCTGATCGGAACTATGCGATCTCCTATTACATGAAAGAGAAGAAGTGTTTTCCGCCAGAGGTGAGGCACTCGCACAAATGTTTTCGGATGCTTTTTTTGAATATAAAGCCTGAAAGCCTGTAACAAACTGAGTCAATGAATCTTATAAGTGATGCGATTATAAGTGGTTCCATTCGGAGTGTCGCAAACGGCGCGGCTCGAACCCTCGCGAGCCGCCCGCCTCGCTTGCGTCTCACGCCGTGTTCGCCCTCGGTGGATACGGTGCTTCCCCATGCTTGAGGCGTGGGAGATAAGGTATCCCAAAGCATTAATGGTTGACGAGCCCGGGAAAACGCTCCCAAACACGTTCGCGAATGCGTCGAGTGGCCCAAGCGAGATGACCCGCGAGAACCCGAGCCGCGCCGACCGTGACACTCAGATTGGAATTTCCTGTAGCTGCTAAACTTCATTACAAACTCCACTTTCAGACAACATCTCTAACGGATGCTCTCGATTTCTACTTCCAGCTATGCTCAGTAGAAGGCAACTGCGAATCTCTAAGTGTTATGGCCGCAACGCTCGCAAATGGAGGTAACCACCATTTTATCACAGATTAAAAAATTTGACGTTTTAGTGAACTCAGAAATTACGCCATTTTGGGCCGCTTCCGCAGATTTTCGCGATGCTATCGCTGTTGTTTGAGGACCAGTAGTCCGCCGGGGCGACCCAAAATGACGGAGTCCATCCCTCCCCCACTAGGATTTGAATATTCCAGGAATCTGCCCAATCACTGAGGAAAAATGCATTAATCCCAATGCATGCAGAGATGTACTGACGTTAATGTATAGTTGCGGAATGTATGACGCATCTGGGCAGTTTTCGTTTGCGGTAAGGTTCCCAGCTACATCTACAGGGAATACGTTACTAAAAATTCTTCACCAAGGTTGGCCTCCCAACAAAGTCTGGAGTATCAGGAGTAATGATTGTTGTCGTACCAAATGTCATGGGTATTGCGCTGTTTTCTCCTCCGTTGGATGCGCTTGGCAACAGTTGCAGAGGAGTCGCATTTTGCAAAGTTCGCTTTTTTCAACTTCTCAGCAAAGAATCCCCCTCTCTTTGCAGAAACTGATAGCAAAATTCAATTTCCACAACTACGATTCCTTACTGCACGCCACATCTCATAAAGTGGACCCAAAGCGAAGAGATAAGGAGCGCAATCTGCTGCTCCGGCCCTCTATGTGGCTCGATCTAAAGATATGGTTGCGCTTAGGAGGTGAGTCAGGATTTTGGAGAACTTAATAAAATAATTACTGCTGCTTAACTCAAGACTTAGTTCAGACCGTCGTCTTAAGCAGTTCAATCAGCGTCCCCGACTAGGGTAGAAAGTAGTACGGTCTGGGCTAGGGTTAAGTTGGTTTCCTCGCCCACAAAACAACTATATGTAACCTTTGATTCAAATGGATTGGCTGCTAGAAGGCGGGGCTCTGTGTCCTAGTTATTGCTCGCGCCCGCGACGCAGTCTGCTTCTCTCTCGCGCGCATGCTCTCTGATAATTCTCTAGCCATCGACTAGGTCACGAAGCTCCGCCTTCCAGCCGTCAATCCACTTGAATCAGAGGATACTGCCGCTTGGGCAATGAATTGGCAAGTTCTCAGATATCCAGAGGGCACTCCCTCCAAAGACATTTTTGATGAAATGCGATATCTTTTTCATAAAACGTAGTTTCTGCTGCTCCAGGAAAAGCGTTGTGGATGGGGGGAGGGGGAAAGAGGGGGAAGCTAGTAGTAATCGAGGTTGAAGAACATCCTAAGCAGCAACCTGAGCCCACAACAAAATATTTTACTTGGAGAGCGGTAGTTCCTGCTCCAATGAAGTAGTACCCGCATGTGGTTCGAGTAAGCCTGTAAGCAAGGTCCGCCCACTGTACTAACTCCGCCCTTCCACAATACTTGTTAACGCCGTCGCAAAAAATAGAGAATTCTGCTGATTCTATACTTTTGTTGCCTAATGGTAAAACTTTTGCACAACATAATATGAAATGAAAGGGGAGTTATACAGTAGATGGTTCTTGTCATGTCTGGACCTATCCTTTTAACCAAGTGGCTTGGCGGCTGAAAGGCGGCGCCATACATATACAAAGCGTGAACATAACCTCTCCAGGGTGAAAGGGGTCATAGGGGTCCCGCCTCTCCAGGGTGAAAGGGGTATGAGGGCCGGAGGTGGGGGGCAATGTTCGTCATCATTGCTTCTCATGTTCTTTTCATTCACATGCATCAAGTGAAATTGTAGCCAAGGTGGGTTAAAGTTGAATAATGGGTTTTACCCGCTGAAATTCGGAGAAGATAAACTGGAAGAAGTGAGACTAAAAAATCAACATTCAAGCAAAATTGTGAAACTATTAGCATTATTAAGATCAAATTTAGTGATATGTTGATTCTCAATATTATTATTATGATTATCAAAAGCTTATGTGCAGGTTTACTGAGAAGTACGTCGGAAATTTGCCGCCTATTGTTCACTTCTAGAGAACGACGAAAAAGTCAGAAGAAATTTTACGTGTGAAGCCTTCGTGTAAATATGTCAATGAAGTTACTCACGTATTTGCTGAAATATCAAGTGAAATAATAAATGGACTTTGATGATCGGTACGCAGTTGAATTGTATTCTTTGTGTTGGAGAGTAACTTTTGTTGTTTTGTTTTGTGTTGTTATTGGCTTGTGATCTCTAGGATCTATTGGTGTTGTATTGACCTATGCGCGGGATCTGAGCGCTATATAAGGCGTTCCCTGCTAGCTAAGTCATTCGTTCGTTCGTCTCGTCTTATCTTCTGTTCTTGTTCATATCCGTCTACTAATAAATCTATTATTCTACAAGTGTCCCGGGCCCAGTTACAAGTACAAGTAACAAGTAGAAGTAGAAGGCTACAACAAGTGGCGATCAGTACCGGACGACACGCTTGGAGTGGACGAGGAACAAGTTGAACAAGTACTTCTTCGGGAAGGATGGCGACCAAGTCGAGCGCTTCACTGTAGCAGATGATTGCTCAGCTGATGCAGCAAAACGCTGCACTCCTGAAGGCGAACCAGGAGCAGTCCGAGCGGATGGTAGAACTTCTACAGCGAATGGACCGTTCAATCGCCCCTACGATGGCCGACTACTCAGCGCTTTCGTCGCGACTGCCAGGCTTCAGCTACGATCCAGATAGCGGTTGCACCTTTGAGAGCTGGCTGTCAAGATTCGAAGAAATTGTCCCAGCGTCGATGGCAGAGAAGGACCGCAGTACCCTTCTGTCTGCGAAGCTGGATAACGCTGCACATGCTAAGGTAAAAGGGCACCTGGAGCCGAAATTGCCGATAGAGCTTTCGTTCGAAGAGCTGACCAAAGTGCTGACGTCGCTTTTTGGTGAAAAGACAACGCTCTTTCGACGTCGATGGAATTGTCTCCACATCGTGAAGGACTCCTCATAAAGATGTCGAATCGTATGCTGCTCGACTCAGCAGAATGCTGGTCGAGGCCAAAGCAGATGAAATGAAAGGTGAAGCACTGAGATGCGTACTTTTCGTCATGGGTCTGCAGTCGCCGTGCGATTCACCAATCGTGCGCGACTATCAAGCAAGCTAGATAACGAGGCCGATAGTTACAAGCTGCAGGACCTGATCGCGGACTACAACGCGTATCAGTCCGTGCAGAAGGATGCTGCCCTCATTGGATCTGCACCGGCGCCCGTCCAAGCTGAAGTCGTCGCTCCTTTCCGGAAGAAGAAGCAACGTCGCCTACCGCCGCAACGTACCAGACGCCCATCTGTTAGCAAGGATCCGCCTGGACGTTCCCGCCATGACGATGTATGCTACACTTGTGGAAACAAAGGACACTGGGCCAGCAACTGCCCGTCAAGGAACCGACCAGTCCGAGGTTCCATGAAAAAAGTTGTCAAGTTGAACGTGCTGGACTCCCATCGTCGATACGTAAATGTCAAGCTGAAGGTGGATGTGAAGATGCAACTCGACACCGGTGCCGACGTATCGACAATTAGCCGCAGGACGTGGATGGAATTAGGATCGCCAACTCTGAAGGCCCCGCCTGCCGAATTGAGAGCTGCAAATGGATCACAGATAGAAGTTTTTGGAGTTCATGAGACGCCGTGAACATGCAATGGTTTCGATGGCCAAGGATTATTTTACGTCACCAAGGATCTGTGTTTGCTAGGAATGGACATGCTGCAATAGCTGCCGCCCTTCCGAGATGCCCTTTCTGCTGTTTGCTGTATTGTGGATGACTCTTCACCACTGGACGACCGCCTTGCGGCTGAGTTCCCAGAAGTTTTCAAGGAGGAGCTGGGACACGTTAACAAGTTCAAGGCTCACCTGGTGCTGAAGAAGGATGCCACACCCGCCTATGTGCCGAAGCGGAAGGTACCGCTCGCCGTAGAACCTCTCGTCAACGCAGAGTTGGATCGCCTCGTCGCTACAGGAGTTCTATCACCCGTCGATTACTCGCAGTGGGCCGCTCCCATTGTTCCCGTCAAGAAAATGGAGCAGTGCGCATTTGTGCCGACTTCTCCACCGAACTGAACGACGCATTGGAACTGCACAGACACCCACTGCCCACTGCTGAGGACGTCTTCACCAAGCTAAATGGAGGAACCGTCTTCACGAATATCGACCTGCGTGACGTACTTGCAAGTAGAAATGGACGACGAGAGCAAAGAATTGCTGACCATCAACACTTCTCGTGGACTCTTCCGCTACAACCGTCTACCGTTTGGGGTGAAGAGTGCCCCTGGGATATTCCAGTCGTTAATGAGCAACATCACCGCTGACATCAGTGGGGCCATCGCTTATCTGGACGATGTTGTGGTCACCGGAAGGACTCGTGAGGAGCACGATGCGAATGTCTTCAAGCTATTCCAACGTCTTCAAGACTATGGAATGCGTGTTCGCCGTGAAAAGTGTCATTTTGCTGAACCTAGCATAGTATTTCTCGGATTCATTGTCGACGCCGAAGGAAGACGCCCCGACCCCGAGAGGATTGCCGCCATTCATATGCCGCCACCCCAAGATGTAAAGCAGCTCGAACCTTACCTTGGGATGGTTTCGTTTTACTCGTCTTTCGTGCCAAGGATGCGTTCACTTCGCGGACCACTGGACGCATTAAAGAAGAAAGACACACCGTTTGCCTGGAGTAAGGAGTGCCAGGAAGCCTTCGACCGCCTTCGCGAAGTCCTGACCTCGGATCTTCTGCTGTGCCACTACAACCCCAGAAGTCGATCATTGTTGCCGCTGACGCAAGCAACTATGGAATCGGAGCCGTGATCTCTCACCGCTACCCAGACGGATCGGAAAAGGTCATTTGCCATGCGAGTCGCGCATTGACGGCACCAGAGAAGAACTACTCGCAGATTGAGAAGGAGGGATTGGCCCTAGTTTTCGCCGTCAATAAATTCCACAGCTACATTTGTGGAAGGAGATTTACTCTGCTTACGGACCACCGCCCTCTACTCACTATCTTCGGGAGCAAGAAAGGAGTGCCTGCCTATACCGCCAACCGTCTACAATGATGGTCGATGGTGCTACTTGCCTATGATTTCGACATCAAGTACTGCTCTACGACATCGTTTGGATAGGCGGATGCTCTCTCCCGACTGCTTTCCTGCCGGAGTGCGCCGGACGAAGGCATCACCATTGCTACCGTAGAAGCTTATGTCACCGCCACTTACGAGGAAGCACTCAACCAGCTGCCGGTCACAGTGAAAGACGTACGATCTGCTATGAAAAAGGACGCCATACTGATGGAGCTGCTCAATTGTCTCCAAACAGGACGTTGGCTAAATGCACTTCCGGGAACGCCGTTGTTCAACTACAGGAGCCAACAGAAGGAACTCTCTGCTTACAACGGATGCATTTTCTTTGGATCAAGGATCGTCATACCCGCTTCGCTGAGAAAGAAGACTCTCCGCCTGCACGACGGACACCCTGGACAAACCCGGACGAAACTGCTTACTCGCAACTACGTCTACTGGCCTGGTATAGAAGAAGACGTAAAGAAGACTGTGGAAAGCTGCCAGAATTGCCAACTTGCCGCTAAGAATCCAGTAAAAGCTGAATTAACCCCATGGCCGACCGCAAGTCGCCCGATGGAACGCCTGCATATTGACTTCGCGGGACCGCTTTATGGACACATGTATCTCGTTGTCATGGATGCGTACTCCCGCTGGCCTGAGATCGTGGAGATGCAGTCGACTACGTCACAAGCGACCAAGCAGGAACTCAAGAAGAACTTCAGCCAATTTGGATTCCCAGAAACGCTTGTTTCGGACGACGGCACCCAATTCTCTTCCCAGTTTTTCGAAGAATTCTGCAGGAAGTACAGGACCAAACACGTTTAGACACCGCCATTCCACCCGCAGTCGAATGGACTCGCTGAACGCTTCGTCAGAATTTTCAAGCGAGGACTCCTGAAGCTACAAGGGGAAGGAAACCTCCCGGAAGCTTTATCGAAGCTACTGCTATGTTACCGCTGTACTCCCTGCCCGTCTTCGCCTGAGAATCGCTCGCCGGCCGAGATGTTTCTTGGACGAACGATTAATACTCCACTCACACGTTTGGTCACTGATGCTTGGAACGCCACACCAACCTACTCCCCCGGATCGAAACCGGCGATGGAAGCTATGTACAACCGCCGACATGGAGCCAAGAAAAGGAGATTCGAAGTTAACGAAGCCGTCTATACCCGCGACTATCGCAATCCATCGAAGCCTACTTGGACTTCAGGACGTGTGCAATCAAGGATTGGACGCTCACTCTACAACGTGGAAGTCGAAGGATTTTTATGGAGGCGCCATGCCAACCAACTACGCCACGCAAGGTTCCCGACGCCACTACGACGCTGTTAAGAGAATTCAATCTTCTAGATTTTGAGCTCCCTCGACCGTTGCCTGCCGTTTCCGCTGATGTTCTCGCTTCCCAAGGCGCCAGTCTCGATGACGAAACACCAACTCCGGATATCTCAGCTGCCGGTGCCGAACGGATGCTGATGTCTCCGCCACTCAACCATCTCTACCGTCACTTCGCCGCCGGCCGCAAAGGACACATCGACCACCGTGCCGCATCGTGATCGACCCGTCAAAGAAGCGATACATTTGATAGCTTAAAGGCAGTGTCCGGGCAAAAACTCGATTTTGAGATTTTGTGGTTACTTGGGCCTATTCGCTACGCTGAATCCGAAAATACACATTGGAAAGCGTGAAAATGGCGAAAAACGGCTCTAACACAGGAGGGAAATGAGCAGGTGGGCGGGGTCCTCCCCACTGCGAATTCACGTCCTCGGCTTCCGGAGCGACTTTCTCGCTTCCGGTTTCAAGTCAATCATTCGTACTTGGCCGGTAGCGATGTTAAAACGGCTAGCGGAATCGAGAAAATCGCTCCCGGAGCTGGGAGCGTGAAATCGCACTGGGGGAGCCCCGCCCACCTGCTGATTTCCCTCCTATATTAGAGCAGGTGAGGGCAGAGAGCAAATGAGCAGGTGGGCGGGGTCCTCCCCACTGCGAATTCACGTCCTCGGCT